AAAAAAATATATATCAACCTGTTATGCTTGTTCCTTCCCTTGTCTAAAGATTTAAATTTTTACAAATTTTGACTGAAGGTTTTCACAATTAAATTATAGAATTCTTCAAAATCTAAATGCAATCTTTCTTTGTAAAATGCATAACACTGATCAGATTGATTTCAGAGTTAATAATTGATGAAACAGAACATAAATGTAACCGATTAGCATCATAATACTTTAGTTGATAAGTCAATATACTTTATTTTTTACAAAACACCCAGTGTTTCGGTAGTGACTGCACTGTTTCGGTAGTGACTGTCCTGTTTCGGTAGTGACCATTATTCTGTTTTTAAGGTTGCATCATATTTCCTCAAATGTATGCCTTATGGTGGGAATATTACAAAGACAAAGACAAATGTTTTGTGGTCAATAAAACAATTTAATTTTTGAGAGAGCAGAGCAGAGTAGAGTAGAGTAGAGTAGAGTGGAGCAGAATACAGCAGAGCATAGTAGAGTAGAGTGAAGAGTATAGTGGAGCAGAGTATAGTAGAATAGAGTAAAGTAGAGCAGAGTATAGTAGAGTAGAGTAGAGCAAAGTAGAGCAGAGCAGAGTAGAGAAGAAAGAGCAAAGTAGAGTAGAGCTGAGTATAGTAGAGCAGAGTAGAGCAGAATATAGTAGAGTAGAGCAGAGTAGAACAGAGCAGAGCAGAATAGAGAAGAGTAGAGTATAGAGTAGAGCAGACTAGAGTAGAGCAGAGTAGGGTAGAGAAGAGTAGATTATAGAGTAGACCAGAGTAGAGCAGAGTAGAGTAGAGCAGAGTTGAGCAGATTATAGAGTAGAGCAGAGTAGAGTAGAGTAGAGTAGAGTAGAGCAGAGTTGAGCAGATTATAGAGTAGAGCAGAGTATAGTAGAGTAGAGTAGAGTAGAGCAGAGTTGAGCAGATTATAGAGTAGAGCAGAGTATAGTAGAGTAGAGCAGAGCATAGTAGAGTAGAGAAGAGTATAGTAGAGCAGAGCAGAGTATAGCAGAGCAGAGCAGTGCAAAGTAGAGCAGAGTAGATCAGAGCAGAGTAAAGCAAAGTAGAGCAGAGTAGAACAGAGCAGAGTAGAGTAGAGCAAAGTAGAGCAGAATATAGTAGAGCAGAGCAGAATAGAGCAGAGTAGAGCATAGTAGAGTATAGTAGAGCAGAGTAAAGTAGAGTAGAGCAGAGTAGTGCAAAGTAGAGCAGAGTAGAGTAGAGCATGGTAGAGTAGAGTAGAGCAGAGTGGAGAAGAGTAGAGTAGATTATAGAGTAGACCGCTGCGAGGGTCATAAGGACAGAGGGATGTCGTATGCTGTAAAGCCCTGTGAGGCAAATTGTGATTTGTGATATTGGGCTTTATAAATAAAACTGATTGATTGAAATTGATAAAGTAGAGTAGACCAGAGTAAAGCAGAGTGTAGAGTAGAGCAGAGTAGAGTAGAGCAGAGTTGAGCAGATTATAGAGTAGAGCAGAGTAGAGTAGAGCAGAGTTGAGCAGATTATAGAGTAGAGCAGAGTAGAGTAGAGCAGAATATAGAGCAGAGCATAGTAGAGTAGAGAAGAGTATAGTAGAGCAGAGCAGAGTATAGCAGAGCAGAGCACTGCAAAGTAGAGCAGAGTAGAACAGAGCAGAGTAAAGCAAAGTAGAGCAGAGTAGAACAGAGCAGAGTATAGTAGAGTAGAGCAAAGTAGAGCAGAATATAGTAGAGTAGAGCAGAGCAGAATAGAGTAGAGCAGAGTATAGTAGAGTAGAGCAGAATAGAGTAGAGTAGAGCATAGTAGAGTAGAGTATAGTAGAGCAGAGTAGTGCAAAGTAGAGCAGAGTAGAACAGAGCAGAGTAGAGCAGAATAGAGTAGAGTAGAGCATGGTAGAGCAAAGTAGAGCAGAGTAGAACAGAGCAGAGTAGAGCAGAATAGAGTAGAGCAGAGTAGACCAAAGTAGAGTATAGTAGAGCAGAGTATAGTAGAGTAGAGCAGAACAGAGCAGAGTAGAGCAGAATAGAGTAAAGCAGAGTAGAGTAGAGAAGAGTAGAGTATAGAGTAAAGCAGAGTAGAGTAGACCAGGATAGAATAGAGCAGAGAAGAGCAAGATTTTGGTCCACAAAATTATGGTGTTTAACTACTGACCATTCCATTTTGTCACTACCGAAATGATCATGTCACTACCTAAACTTTACCATAGGTTTCGGTAGTGACTGTTTTTGTAGTGACATTCCTAGCTATTTTTCAGGATAACTAAAGAATGCTAGCAGTCACATGGCTAACAAGCATATGTTTGATATGTTCACACAGAAAAACATAATATTTTGCATAAACCCTTCAAATTTTTACATAATTGAATAGAACATGTGTTCGTTAGTGACTTTTTTAAAAGTTACACACTGATTTTCAGACTTTGTAAGACATTTATTTAAAAAATGATGGGAGTCAGCGACTTACCATACAGCCATCTGGGACCGGGGTGCAGTACTACCCCCCTTCTCAGAAATTCAGGGGTGTGGCTAAAATCCACACAGTGTATTAAAACTCTTGTGTTTCGGTAGTGACATGAAAACAAGGGACACTACTTTTTTAGCATAGCTTCTTAATTTAAAAATTAATCCCACAATACATCTAAATCTTTCAACTTGTGTTTAAACTTAATCACAAAGATGTTTTAAATTACACTTTTGAAAAAAATATGAAAAATGTTTTAAGTGTTATTTACATGAATTGAATTTTAGAGGTCAGGGTTGGGGACAGCTACTTCCCAATAGAAAGTACCCTATAAATGTTGATTTTGTATATATTTAGCTTATCACTTTTTCATTTAATGTCCTGGGTTTAAATAGGTCATAACATAATCTTTCTAAATATCTATGTCTAAATACTCAATTATATCATTTTTGTTGTTTTTTTGTTAAGGGACAGCACTTTGCACAAAATCGGTAGAATGCCCCATATATATATGTATATATATATATATACATATACTTTAATAGAAAAAGGGCCTAAAGCAAAGGTTTGGGCACCCAGCAGGGTCGTGTGTGCTTTTTGTAACCAGCTATGAGTCTTTCAGTTCTTGTTTGGGGGATTTCACTTTTTCTTCATTAGCTCTGTGAGATTCTTGGGCTGTCAATGTATGCACTGCTCTTTTCAGGTCTATCCACAGAGTTTTAATGATGTTTAGGTCGGGAGACTCTGAGGGCCATGGCAAAACCCTCAGTCAGATCCACCCCTTGCTCCTCCACAGGTCCACCCTCTCGTCCAAATGTGGTCAAAACAGGGGTCCACAAACCAATGGGTGATGCCAAGGTAGCTACATCCATTACTTGTACAGTCTATGGCTTAACACATTAAATAGATTAAGTGGTTACACTAGCCACTACTAGCATAATAATACAAAAATGTCCGACCCAACTGTTGGTGATTGAGGTGCATTGTGGGTGAATGTAGATGCCAGATTTTGACCAAGTGGCAACTTCCGAGGTTGAAAAATGAAGCCATGAAAGTGAGCGGCCGCTTTTCACTGGCTCCAGAAGCTAGTCAATCCA